AGAAGGAAATTTACGGAATTAATCAATAAGAATTTTAAAGAGATTCAATTTAAACCAATACAATTTATAGAGTTTCTCATTGACCAAGTAAAGTTCAAATCTTTTGAATTTTTAAATGAAAGCGAAGCTAAATCAAAGGGTTTCGATAGACCATTATACAAATTAACAAAATAAAAGTAAAATAATAATTAGTTTAATTATTTTATATTATTTAAACTACAATTTATATCTATTTTTTTTTATTTTTTTTTTTTTTTTATTTTTTATTTTTTTTTTTAATCGCTGTTTATTGATGATTTGATTTTACAATTAATTTAAATTAGTTTATTGTGGTGGTGGTGGTGGTGGTAAATCGTAAAGTTGAGACATAGGTCTTGGTGGTGGTGGAATATCTCCAAATGAAGTTGGTGGTGGTGGAGGTAAATCAAATGCTGGTGGTGGAGGTAAATCACCAAATGCTGGTGGTGGGAAATCACCAGATGGTGGTGGTGGAAGACCGAATGATGGTGGTGGTGGTGGGAAATCACCGCCTCCAAATGATGGTGGTGGTGGTGGAGCAGCAGAAGGGGCAGTATTTCTTTGTGGAATTGATGGTGGTACAGATAATGATGGTGGTGGAGCAGCAGCTCTTTGTGGTGGACCACCAGCTGGTGGTTTGCTTTGGTGAATTGGTGGTGGAGTATAATTTGAAGCTGGTTGTGATTGATAGGATGGTGATTGATAAGATGGTGTGCTTGAATTTGATGTTGATGAGGCTAAATGACCATTTGAACTGTTGAGATTTGCTGATGAATTTGAATGGTTTAATTGTGGGGCTGATCCGTTATTACCTGCACCTCCAATTTCGCTCATACCATATTGAACTGGTTTATGTACATATTTAACTGGTGGTTTAGCTGTATCTAATTCGACTTTTCTATCTTTTAATGATGATTTATATGGTTTTGCTGCATCTGGCATTGAAAATACATTTGTACCTGTTGAATCATGAATCATTTTAACTCTCTATAAAAAAATAAAATTGATAATTATTATTAGTATTATTATTTCAAATCTTTATAGTTTATAATATGATGATAGTTACCTGTGTGATTGTTTGAACTTGAATGTTTAATTTTTCTAATTCATTTGTTTGTAATTGTAAAAGTGAGGTGATATGAGTTCCAACAGTTTGAATATGATAGGCTACATTTAAAAGTGCATTTTTAGCATAACTTTGTGTTTGTTCATAGGCTTCGTTTGGATCTGAACCATTGGCTGAAAGTGATTTGCAATATAATGAAATTTGTTGTAACTTATTATGATTATCCATTAATTCTGCCAATGCATTTGGGACAGTTGTGTTTGAATAATAGTTGATGTCAATTGGTTGATTATCCATATTTTCTTTTTTTCCTTAATTAAAATAATATCAAATATATTTGATACTATCTGAAAAATAATAATACAAAAAAATATAAAAAAAAAAGAAAAAAATTAAAGATACTATAAGATTAAAAAAAAAACTGAGTTATATACAAAAGATATTTAAAACTGTTTTCTTTTTTTCTTTTTA